ACACACACACACACACACACACACACACACCCTTAAACACTCCCACTAAGCCACTGCAAGAAGACGAGGGCGTTGCCTGCTGTGCACGTTGCGTTTGATGGCTGGTCTGTGCCCCACACGCCATGATGTCACTTTGTGTGTGTGTGTGTGTGTGTGTGTGTGTGTGTGTGTGTGTGTGTGTGTGTGAAGCATGGGAAGGACTATTGGACCATTTCTGCCTCTAAGTGAATTAGGTTGGGATGATTGTCTGTACAAGGCCATTGGGCTGCAAGATGCTGCTGCTGCTATGATGATGATGATGATGATGGGGTATTGCTTAGTGGAAAGACAGCTCACTCTGCTCTGTTAAAAAATGAATGAGCAGGGATTCAATCCTCACAAAGTGGCAGCAAAGTGTTGAAGGACAGCAGCATTTATCCCTTGTCCAGCCAGCGTGGCCCTGACCCACATAACAGGCGATCCACTGAGTCACCAAATCACTCGGTGAACACGGTTAGTATTTTTACATATTTACAAGGCTTCTCTTCAAAGTACGCTATGTCTCAATGCTGTAGCGCGGAGACATTTACCAAATTCATTGATTATAGTTATGGTGGTATATTTATAAGTATTTAATTGCAAAATACACAAAACATACTTATTTTCTTAATCTTCTGTGATATTAACCTGAGTATCTTTTGGGTTTTAGACAAACAATGGTAAGATTTCACCTTGGGCTCTGCTAACTTCTGAAGGACATTTTCTTTATGTTATGACATTACATTATTTCAGGGCTCCAACTATCAATAACTTTATGTATTATCCTGGCGGAAACCCTGTCGATATACAGTACAGTAGTTGTTGTAAAAAGTGTCAGGTTGCAGTAAAGAAAGTACCAAATCCCAAAGCGTTTTGTTTTGATTTTCCCTAATATATTCTGTTTAAAAAGAAAAGCCAAGGTGCCTCAATTTAGGTGCTGAAACTAGGAAATGGCTTCTTTGTTTGAAAGATTGCTTAAAAAACTTTTTTTTTTCGAAATGGTTGACAATAAAGTCACCTTTTTTAAATTAAGTCATAAATGACTGTTACGTGCTGCACCTCATAACTGTAAAAATAAATTAACTTTACCATTATATTTTTTATCCCAAATCTAAAAACTGTGTTCCCAACGAGCAGCTCGTATCTAATTATCATTAGCATTTCCACCTCCTTCAGTGTTTGGGTTAGGGTTACACTGAACTGGAATTTAGTTGTTACAAACAAAACAAAATAAGCATAAGGAAATAGTTTTTCAGTCTTATATTTATATTGATCTTGTCACTCTTAGTAGTTGGTTCGTTGGTCCGTCACTATTTTCACTTAGTCACCACTGATGATGATGATGATGATGATGATGATGATGATGATGATGATGATGTGTTTGGCCAATGTTAACCAGAACAGGATGACCTGTAATGTCATCTGTCTTTTACAGATCTCTTGAACCCATCAGATTAAGTATTGAGTCATTGCCTGCTCTGCGGTCGGCCAGTTGATAGCACATCCTGTAAGAGCCTCTCTCTCAATGTCCACAGTTGAGTTGTTGGAGTAGAAGAGCCACTATAGTAAGGCAGTGAGATTATAAATCAGCCAGACAATCATGCTGTTTCCGGTTTCATTTTGTCAACCAATTAGCTTGGTATTCACTTTTTCAATAGGAAATTAGTCAGTGAGCTGGACTACTGGCTAGTCACTCTTGTTGGTTTAAGTAAACAACTGAAGTTTTTAAATGGTTGTAAACTGGTTATATTCTGGGTATTTACATTATTTATATTCAGCAGTTCATTGAGTTTCTTCACATAAACACCTTGATGTTTAGAAATGGATAATCCAAAATACCGATTTCTTGAACTACAAACGCGATGGTTTTACGTTAAGACTACTTCCTGATATCCTTTCTGTAATAAAGTCGTAAAGAGAATTAGTATGCAAGCCATTGCAGTCAATATGGGTGCTTCCTGCTTTTATTGTACAATAATCAATAGTACAGAAGCCACCATTCTACTATTATAGAAGCTCGTGACTTCCAAAACAAAAGCCAGACTACAGTGTAGTGTCCGCACTCCTCTAAACTTGGGCCTTTCCCCTTTCAAAAAATTCCCCTTTTTGTTTTTTCGAGTCTGACAATTTCCCGTTTCCTTTCCGCTCAGCCCACACTCCAAATGTTTCACAAGCACTTCGATCAAAAGCACTGTGATAAAGAGCGACGGGGGGGGGAGGGGAGAAATGGAGAAGAGGGGGACATATATGATGAAGCTGTTAAAGCTTTATATAATGCTTTAATTCCTGCCCTGCCTTGATATGTTTGGGTCCATATGCACAACTATTTTCTGCATGGACACACTGGTCTGTATGTGAAGACATGGATCACTGTGCCAGGGTTTGATGCTTATATCTTGTCCCTGTGAGAGAGTCACACCGCACGCAGGCCCCAAGGCCATTTTTACTCAACACGTATACGTTTTTTCTTCCATTTTCTCTGAAGTGTTCCTGCTCCTTGTCTGTGTTGTGGATTATTTTGGCTTTCCAGGGGCTTATTTCTTGTTCATCATGTTCAAGCCCGTGGGATTTATCCTATCATGAAGGAATGAATGACCATTTTTCCCCCAGCTTTTTTTGTTGCTGATACCATATCCAATTTTCCTGACAAAGTGGCTCATGGAGCTTGTGACAGTGACATGGTCTACAATGAGATGATTGTTTCACAAGATGTTTAGTGGCATGTGTTTTCTGTCAATATACGATGATATTACACCATTACACCAGCTATTACTGTTGAACCATTCAATATGTCACATGTAACATTTCTTGTAATTGTATTTTTTTTTTTACAACACGATGCCGATGACGATGAACTAATCTTTTATTTCAAGGAAAATGTACGCTAGAGGGGGTAGGACCAGAAAGTTTTTTTTAAGCTTCTTCGTTATTCATTATTATAAGAAAAAAAATATATATTATTGTTGTATGTTTTGTTTCTGACCTTTTCAATAAATTGACAAAAAAAACCCTCTGCAGTATTAATCTAAATACCACTTCAAGCAAATTGTCCCTCATTTGTCTGTGGGACCAATAGGCAGATTTGAGGTCTCCAAAAGGTCCACAGACTCACTTCATGGACCATGAGCATAAAACTTGGATATCATTTGAAACTAAAATGTAAATGTGTCTTTCATGTGTTTGTTTGGTGCAGAATCGGGAGCTGCAGATCATGAGGAAGTTGGACCACTGCAACATAGTCCGCCTGCGCTACTTCTTCTACTCCAGTGGAGACAAGGTCAGTGGACGGTGTGTCTGAGGTTTGTCTCCGGGCTGCATAATTAATTGTTTTTAATAACACACAGGAGTTTGAGTCTCAACAAATGGAATATCTCTTTTTAAGTACTCACTTTTTATCACAGCACTTAAGTTTGCTTTGCTTTTAAATGTTTAAATTATTGAGCACTTCAATTAGACAAGTCAAATTGAGCCATTAGTATTCAGCCATAGTCTTTCACTTACCTGTGACTTTTCTGCCTCTTTTTGTTTATAGCATGCCTTTTGTTGCCTTGTTCATGTTCAACAAAGACTAATGTTAATTGTCTTTTTTAAAGCATTATTCACTTGAATGAATCTGGAGTCAACCCACATCCTCCTTAAACCACCAATTTAATCTCCTGATTCCAGGAAAGTTGAAATGCTAACTTAGACACATGTACTTTGTTGTTACCTGACGCCATTTTATCCGACGCCACACTCAAGTGCCCAATCAGTACTGTGCATGTGCGACTCTCAGCAGAGATGATATGGAAGTGACATTGCTTACTCCTTAGCTACTCGCATCATCCTCCCCTGAAAAAAACAATGGGTTTACATTCTTTAACCACTTTTTTCCACCACACCACGAAAGTGGGCAATGCTTACTATTAAACCCTGTCTTCCTATCAGCTTCACCATCAATTGCGTTATTCCTGGCCTTAATAAATCAATAAATTGGTACAAGTCGCCCTCTATATCTGATTCTGTCCACCATTGGAGGAACCCTGGAGACTACAAGTCTGGACTATGTCATTCAACTAGCAGAGAATCATGTTTTAAACATAGACACCAACCTGGCAGACAAACTGTTGGGACTATACCCATGACTCGGCAGTTAGGAATGCTCCCTTGCTGCTCAACTACCGGGGCCAAGGAAAGCTGCGGGGGATTATAGAGGGAAGGTGACGATGAGGGTGGTTGGGAGGAGCGACATTTGAGGGTTGGTTCCTGAGCACCTATTTGCCAGACCAGAGGGTGTTGGCTAATTATAGCCTCACCCAAACCCTCCCCTCCCTTCTGTAAGCTCCGCCCAGTTCCCCACCCCTCTCCTCGCTCACTGACCTCTGGGAATTGCAGCTACTTCTTGGTATGCTGACACAGTGACAGCGGAGAATGACCGTACACCTTCCCGATCTGACTTCTGCAATCACATGATTTTGTTATTTTGAATTGCCCAACTTATGTTTTTCGGTCGTTTTATACATTCACCTTTTAAACCGCCCGTACCCCCTTCTGTGTGTCCCGCTTTCATGTATCCATTTCTTCACCCTCCTCCTCTTACCATATCACTCCAGGCTAATTATGGAGACTGGCACCGTGTTGTTGGTATGGGGATTTACCACCCATTGAGATCGACTTAGAAAAGAGGGGGGGGTAGGGCTGGAGAAGTAGGCAAAAGGTTATGTCCCCTAGAAAGGGAGGTTAGTGAAAGGATGCAAGGTTCCAGACAGCTTAATAGATAGATGACAGATTTGTAAAATAGCAGAGAGTGAGGCAGAGATAAGATGAGGTCAGGTGTGTGGAGGTGTAGTTGATGAAGGGGGGGGGGGTCATGCTGAGTGCAGCTGTGAGGCAGGGGCTGCTACTGGAGCTGCCAGCATGTGAACAGGTAGTCTTATGTAACTGTTGGCATGTGGCTTGCTCACACAGTGGGCTTTTGCTTTTACCCTTTAACCCTTTGTTAAATACTGTTCAAACACAAGGCCACATGTCCTAACAGCGTAGGCAGCTATAGGCAACCAGCAGTTGGACTTTTACCTCTTCAAAATATGCACTCGAAAGTATAGTGGATGCTGGTGTGGACAGAATAGTTATACTGGTTCTGAGGCTTCAGGCAAAATTACTCAAGCTGCTACATTAACATGAACATATGTTAATAGGCAGACTTTGGTTGAAACACATTGCTTTTGGGTAATGAGCCGGGACTGGTGTGTAGTCGGCAGATCCACAGGATTCACTAAGTGAGAGTTTATTTCGTAGCCACTTCCCGACAAAAATCAGGCTTTGGCCGCAGCACACATTCATTTATCAGATCCGTGAACTGTTTTCACAAAGTATGGATCATTTATTCAGTTCTTTACCATTTATCATATAGATGAATGCATTAGTGTCTTACAGAATGATAAGCATTTGTAACATACCCAGCAAGCCCAGACTCACAATATACGCTACAAGAGTTGAAACTAGCATATTCAAGATTGATGTATCACTGCACACATTTCAATCTGGTCTTACACAATGTAGCATGGTGATTGTTGTGATAGATAGCTGACACAGTTGTTCAGGTGCAAGCAGTTTTCCCCAGCAAATTTAAAGGCTGAATTATTTAGCCAGGGAATGAACAAGGAGCCAATGTGAGCATCGCCTGGCTAACCATCTGGGAACAAGCTAAGGAAGTGGCTTTGTAGTGAGGCAGGAAGTGAGTCATCGCTGTTGCTAGGCTAAATATGGCTTTGATGGCACTAGCTGCTAGCGGGAGGCGGAGCAGGCCCTCTAGTCGTCACAAATGTTATCAATGGGAGCTAGTGGTGGGTGGGTGCACTCTCACACTCATCTACAGGAGAGACACACAGAGATGAGTAATAGAGGGGAGTGTAATACCAGTGACGGATGAGAGTGTGCATGAAGCTACCCGTGTCTGAGAACGGTTCTGGATGCTGCACATCGTCACTGATATCTGCATCTGTTTGTGTGACCCTGTCTCTGAGTCCTCCCATCCTGCATTTCATTCAGTCTAATTGTCTGAGTGTGAGCGGGAGAGAGCAGTCAGCACAAAGCGGGGCATTGAGCTGACAGACGTGAACCACACAGTCTGTCTGGGAGCTCTTCACTGGCCTAGCTCGCTCTTCGTGCTTTGCAGACTTGCCGAGAGCATAGTCAAGTGATACAGACTTTTAGTGCCCGAACAAATTGAAGAATAATTTAATTAATTAGAGTTGGAAGCTCCAAGTAGGGAATGAGTCCTTACCCCAAGTGAAGGAGTTCAAGTATCTCGGGGTCTTGTTCTCGAGTGAGGGAACAATTGAGCGTGAGATGGGTCGGAGAATCGGAGCAGCGGGAGCGGTACTGCAGTCGCTTTACCGCACCGTTGTGACGAAAAGAGAGCTGAGCCAGAAGGCAAAGCTCTCTGTCTACCGCGCCATTTTCGTTCCTACCCTCACCTATGGTCATGAAGGATGGGTCATGACCGAAAGAACGAGATCGCGGATACAAGCGGCCGAGATGGGTTTTCTCCGCAGGGTGGCTGGTGTCTCCCTTAGGGATAAGGTGAGAAGTTCAGTCATCCGGAGGGACTCGGAGTTGAACCGCTCCTCCTTCGCGTCGAAAGGAGCCAGTTGAGGTGGTTCGGGCACCTAGTTAGGATGCCACCTGGGCGCCTCCCTAGGGAGGTGTTCCAGGCACGTCCAGCTGGGAAGAGACCAAGGGGTAGACCTAGAACCAGATGGAGGGATTATATCTCCTCGCTGGCCTGGGAGCGCCTTGGCATCCCCCAGTCAGAGCTGGTTGATGTGGCCAGGGAAAAGAAAGTTTGGGGCTCTCTGCTGGAACTGCTACCCCCGCGACCCGACCACGGATAAGCGGGAAAAGATGGATGGATGGAGTTGGAAGCCCTGTCATATTACCAAGGCAGTTTGTCTCACAGTGTGTTGGGTTAACAGTGGTCACATGAGGCAGGAGCTCTCTAGTGCTATTCCCTCAAACTCAGTAACACATTAGTTACAGATATGTTTCTATGTGCCAGAATGACTCAAAGCTAATGACCTCTCCTGGCTATAGAGCAGTGATACAAAAGGTTGTGGGCAATTGTGTAATATTCTCTACCGAAAGTAGTCGACAAATGTCCTATTTACTACTGTTGAATTAATAACCGCAGTGCCCAGCTGTTTTATAACATTAATTTAAAAAATAAACATCTAGTTGTAAGCCTTTAAAGAAATGTATAAAATGTTCCTACTGTCTCTTGTATGAGAAAATGGGCGGGAAGGACCAATGGGAGGTCAGTATTTGGTATTTAAATTGGTTTTGTTGACAGAAGTTAATGTCTATTAGGATGCAAGACACTGTATTGAGGGAGTGTCTAAAGGCACTCATTCTGGTGATTAAATCGTTCTTATAGTGCGTTCAATCAGGATGAGAAGTGACATCACATATCGCGATAACATATAAAGTTAAAGCAAAAGACCCCAATGGCACAAATGCCGCGGCACCAAAGAAGCGATTGACCCGATTGTTTGTATCCTCATGGAAATAAGCCCCGCCTCCTCTCAGGCATCGTCTAGTTTAAGCGACGGGACTTAAACGCACCAGGTTGCTGCCTGTTGCTGCCCAATTCTGTTTTAATCCCATCACACATCCCTTCATCTGAACACAGTGTGTTATCTGTCCCTACAAATAAACCATTGTATGAATGAGCTTTGAAGGAATGAAGTGTGATTGGACTTATCTCAAACAATGGATTCACAAGAAACACCTGATGATTCAAAGGAAAAAGAAAAGAAGGATTGGTTGGAGAAGCCTCAGATACTGCATCCTTGAGAGTCGGTGCTCCAAGATCATGCAGAACCCCGCCCTCCAACACTGACCTCCCCCAACCAGGAAATGAGGAAATGATCTCATTGTCTGCGGCCACAGTTGGAGTGCGGGCCGTTATGACGCATGGCTGTGTGTGTGTCCTGCCCTCGGGGACGAGTCCTATACAATGGATCCCCAGTTAGGCTGTGAACAAACATCATCTCACAAACGGCTAGTTTCAGAACACTGCAGACACAAAGAGAAACACATTTGCGCATTTCTAGGTCATGAATGGGATTTTATTTTGTATTGTTTCTATTCAAAATGTCTTGTAAGAAGGGGAATACTGAATGATGATTAGAATTAGAATTTCACATCATAATAAATAAAGCCTTTTATTGCTGAACATTTCAAACTATGAAATATGTTTTATACTAATCTCTTCTGTCTGCATGTTGTTGCTTCTCCAACAGAAAGATGAGGTGTATCTGAATTTGGTTCTGGATTACGTTCCTGAGACTGTCTACAGAGTGGCCCGACACTACAGCCGAGCCAAACAGACCCTGCCCATGGTTTATGTCAAGGTATATAAATGTGTGTGTGTGTGTGTGTCTGTTACTATCACGACAGGGAGTGGTATGCTCCACGCAGATGCATACATATTCGTCAATACAGGAAATGTGGGATGAGTATTCACAAAAAGTAGCAAGAAATAATAAACATGTCGCCTGCTTTGATTTGAAATGTTGTGGTAGTTTAAAAAGAGTTAATGGCTAAACATATTTGGCATTAACGACCTTTGAATCAGTTTAGTATACATACATCCCCCATATCACCAGTCTCTGATTGAATCGAAGGAAAGAAAGACTCCCTTGCAGTGGCAGAAATGTTCCTTGTAATCTCTAAAGAGCCACGTTATCAAAGTTCAGCAGTTGAAGAAGCGCTGTCGTCGAGACATTTGCTGATAAATGTTGTACTTGACCGGGCTGAAATGAGTGCTTGTTTCCACACTTTAACCCTGTTGTAAAAACTGAGCTTGCTGTGTGTGTTGCTGTAACCCGTGTGTGTGTTTCTGTTTCTGTGTGCAGTTGTACATGTACCAGCTGTTCAGGAGCCTGGCCTACATCCATTCGTTTGGGATCTGTCATCGGGACATCAAGCCCCAAAATCTGCTGCTGGATCCAGAGACCGCTGTGCTCAAGCTCTGCGACTTTGGCAGGTGAGACTCAGAAACCGGTGTTTGAGTTTAAAAGGAATAGTCAGAGGTTTTTAGAAATGAGCTTATTACCTCTTGCGGAGAGTATGGTTCTATAGCCCCAGCGGGTTAGCTTAGCATAAAGACTTGAAACAGTAGAAAGCTAACGTGGCTGTGTCTAAAGGATTACACACTAAACCGTAGCACCTCTAATGCTCAATACGTATCACATTATACAGTATTTAGTTTCTACCTGGAGTCATTGCTTTAGGCCTCCCCCGTAACACTGCTACATGTTACTTTTTTTGCTTCATTTCTTTGTACAGATGAAACGACCAAGACATATTTAGTGTTATCCAGCTCCCGAGGTGCTGAAAGGTTCATTTATTTACCTTTTTGGATAGAAAAGAAAACTGCTTTTACCTGAGTTTACAGTCTTCTTTGCTAAGCTGTAGAGATGTATCACACAGAAATGGAAGTGGTTTCGTTCTTCTCATCTTGAGTTTGGTTTCTACCCTGAAGCTTATAAATGGGGAAAAATCTTTGTTCTCAATTTGAGCAATTAACTGAAAATGTTACCTGAGGCTTTTCTCTTGGGTCATATACCCAATAACGTGCTTTGACTTTGTGTGCAGTGCCAAGCAGCTGGTCCGCGGGGAGCCTAATGTGTCCTACATCTGCTCTCGCTACTATCGAGCACCTGAGCTCATCTTCGGTGCCACTGACTACACCTCCAGCATAGGTAAGCTCACTCCAGCTGCCAAAGGAAACACGTTAACCGTTAAGCCACTTAATACACCTAAAGAGACACTTCACCTTTAGGAAAAATGACATATTTTACTTTGACCTGCTTTTCATAAAGATTGGTTTGGTGTGAGTTGATGATATCGGCCGAAGAGATGTCTGCCTTCTCTCGAATATTCATGTCGGGACTATTTTTCCACCAAACTACGACCACCAGACATTTTTGGCCAACTTAGCAAAGCCTTCCTGGTCCTGATTTCTAGAGAAAGAAATTAGCTGTTGAGTTTTTGAAATGTATTTAGATCACTAGTGTAATGCCATATAATTCAATCACATTTAAGTCTCTAAATATCCAACCCCTAGCAACTCACACCAAAACCATCTTGAAATACAAATATTATTTTTTTATGTTATTGTGTGGTGAATTTTCCCTGTAACCTCAGGTGATGTTGATGATTATATTAATACTACTACGATTCTTCTATGATTGTGAATGATACATTGGTGTGGACAAGGAGAATGAAATACTATCAGATTGTATATGATGTCAAATGTTATTATTTTATTTCCTTGGCTTGTATCTGACATCTCTCCTCTGTGTGACCTGCCTCCTTTCTAGATGTGTGGTCAGCTGGGTGCGTGCTAGCAGAGCTGTTGCTAGGACAACCAATCTTCCCCGGTGACAGTGGAGTGGATCAGTTGGTTGAAATTATAAAGGTGATGACTCGGGTTGACACACAGGATGTATAAGTCCTCATAAACGATACTCAGATGATATATGACACTAAGAGGTCTTGTTCATGAGTGATGAAAATGTGTGATATTTTAGAATTCCAGTTGATGACGTATCGTTCCTGTTCTTGTCTGTCCTGTCCTCTCCAGGTTCTCGGCACCCCGACCCGAGAGCAGATCCGGGAGATGAACCCCAACTACACTGAGTTCAAGTTCCCCCAGATTAAGGCACATCCTTGGACTAAGGTGAGTCAACAGGTACAGGAGCCCTTTTACTTCTCTAAGATCCACAGCTTGTCTCCATGCTTGTGTCTCCCATCATACCTGCATGCTATCCTTCCTCCATCTTTATCACATCCTCCCAACAGAGCCGCATGAAGCCTCAAAAGCTGCTCTGAGCTTACAGACTCTGTGAAGAGTGACGGATAACACACAGGCTAAATACTCAACCTTACAGTCGTCATAAAGCTCTATTGAAATAGTTTTATTTTGCATGCAAAGCTTTTTACCTGAGGGGTGCTTGCTTGTTTGTATTCCTGCTCCTTTTTGAGTAAGGTATTAATTATTGGTACAGGGTATTTTTAAGCGGTCGTGGATTAACAAAATGCCACAACATGCTTTAAAATGCGTTAAAATCCTGGTTTAAATGATACGTTTTTGGTCAATATTTCAAGTTAAATGCAGGTACAGTAATTGCCAAATAAACATTATGTAAAGTCTTTAGCCGATGCTTTTGACTGTCAGTTAAACATGCTTTCAAATCGGCTCAACAGTCCTGACTTTGCTCTGCTGTATCTGTTAGTTTATTAAAGACAGATTGAGCCGGCACCACCAGAATATCCCCTTAGTTCTCCACTTCCTGCCTCCATCTGGGGAAGATAGCACAGGTGTGATAAACCAGAGGGACATGTTCTCTTCCTGGCTCCCCCTCAGCAGTCCCACCCTCAGCTCCTGCATTGGATTAAAAAAAAAAGCCATCCAATCAGCAGCAGCGTCAGCAGGTCCTCCTGTGAGACTCTGAGGCGCCCCGCTGTGGTCGCTCTCTGCAACTGCACTCTGTCACTGAGACTGTTCACTGCTGCAGCGCTCAGTCCTTCAGTGACAGTCGTACCCCTACACACTAACCTCTACATTAAAGTAGAGCAGGCTTCATCATTTACACTAAATATGACGCCCATGTCTATAATGCATTATGAACGTATTAAAAATGCGTTGTAATCTGCTTATAGCGCTATATAAATAACATTTATATTTATATTGACACATGATTTCTAAAAATACTCAATGACAATGGCTTTTAGAGTCAATTCTCATAGTGTTTTAAACTTGTAACTCATTTATTGCAAGGATCATAGTGTATTATAATTCCAAGTTGTAATGGATGTAAAACATTAGAATCTCATTATAATGCCATTAATGTTAGTAAAGACATTCCTGAGTTATAGGCAGATATGATATATAATAAGCTGGCTTGTTATAGGTGTAAGTGCTCATGGTTTGTTTTAAGTAAATTCAAATATAATATATATAATAGATCATTAAATCTAAAATGTCAGTTAGTGACAAACTATTTGAGGTATCATAATTACATGACATTTTTTTTAATCATTCAGCGAACACTAAAAAAATCACATACATAGGACGAAGACATAGAGCCCAAACTACAACATAGAGACAACTATATTACTTTACATTAAAGAAAAATAACAACATTAAATTAAATTGGTACATACATACAACAAGGGCACTTTAATACACTTTAATACATCGGCAACCATCCAGTCTTCCAGCAATAGGACTGTATTTCTGCACAGGCTATCACAGTGCAGATTACATGACATTTAAAAGTAATTGTAAAATGCTTTATATAAAATGTGTTGTGATTATTGTAAAAGAGCATTATAAGTGCTTGTTATAACTATAATAATACAGTGCTGTTACTTCAAAGCATTTTAAGTATGTTCAAAATGCATTTTAGATCTGAGAGTCATAGAAAGTGCTTTCATTTGTTTGCATTAGTCCATTTAGTGTCTTTGTGTGTATGTGATGTCTTCAGTATTCTCCTTGAGAGCAGACTTCCCGTGTCCCTGCTGACAGCCGTGTTGGTGTCTAACTGTTGTTCAGGTGTTCCGGCCGCGCACGCCTCCCGAGGCCATCGCCCTGTGCTCTCGCCTGCTGGAGTACACCCCCACCGCCCGCCTCACCCCTCTAGAGGCCTGCGCCCACTCTTTCTTTGACGAGCTGCGCGACCCCAACGTCAAACTGCCCAACGGGAGAGAGAAGCCCTCCCTCTTCAATTTCACCACCCAGGGTACATGCACACGCACGGACGTTCTGTTGCTCAGCACAAAAGACAAAATAAACCAGCAGATATTACATTTGGAAACAAAACTAAACCAGAATATTTGCTTCAATAAATGACTTACAATTTATTGATTCATTGATTTACCTTTTTTTAAGGATTACAAGTGTTTTCAGAAGTTTGAATTTGTATTGGTAAACACTACGATTAAGTGTATTTCATTTGTCTCTTTTTCCATGAAAAGGTGTTCTCGTACTGTGCCGTCAGTTTTCATTCATAGATAAGCACAACTATTAGTACCTTTTTAAAACACGTTTCCATCGATGGCTTCCATGCTTTATGCTATTTTTAAAACATGACCTGGCATCTTTTTTTTCAGAGTTATCCAGTAATCCCTCTCTGGCCTCCATACTCATCCCAGCCCACGCCCGCAGCCAAGCAGCCGCCTCCACCCCCACCAACACCTCTGCCACCACAGGTTAGACGCTTCCTCTGGCACTATACTTTGTATCTATTAGAAGTACTGGCGCTAATGTTACTCCTACTTAAAATTCTGTCGACTTGCTATAAATTGTGTTTTAAAAAGCACTGTGGGCACTAAACTCTGCTGTGTAGGCGGACTGCTTGGATTTACACTTGGGTGTCAAAATAACCTTTAATTGTGTGTCAATTAGCAGCTTCAGTTTGGTGCTAAGGATATTGCTCAGAACATTTAAAACATACAATAAATTACGTGCAATAAAATAAATAATGTAAATATTATAAACCATACTTATTTCAATTGTTTCTTTACAATACAAGTATTAGTTTGACTGTAGATCTGCTCCTCTCCTCAGATGGCAGCAGCACAGAGCGAGGCCCCAGCACCACCACCGCCTCCGCCTCGGCATCCAACTCAACCTCCTGAGCCCTCAGACGCCCCGGCCTCAGCCCCCGCCCTCGGCCTCTCTATCGCCCCGGCCAGGGCGTGATCTCCGCTCAGCTCCGCCCCGCTCTCCCCCCCGATAGCAGCGGAGCGATGCTGACGCAGTCCGGGTTCAACAGCTAGCCCACAGCCCCATGCCTAAACCACAAACCAAGCCCCCCTAATCCCTGATCTTTTGTCCCTGACTGGCCCTTCATCCAGCTGTTTGAACTCTACTCCATCCTCCCTCAAAGACGTCTCTCCGTGCCCTCTCGACGGGGAAGCAAAGCGCAGGGCCAGAGGTGTTGTCGACTGTACTCTTGTTAAAGTACACTGTACATGTATACACAATGCTAGCCTGCTAATGTTTGTAAGAGGACAATCTGTAGAAAAAGTCCTAAGCTGTTCCCCCTCTCCGGCCTTCCCCCTTCGTCCTCCTCGTCCCATTTTTCTGCATCCTTTGACCTCTGACCCCGATGTGTCCCCTGGCCGACCCCCCCCTTGGTTCCTCCTGTAGTGCATGGCCTGAGTATGGTTAGGATCTCCCGGGGGTCTCCACACCCTCTCACTTCTCAACTCCACTTCTGCAGACAAGGCATGAGGCTCACGCACGGGTATACACACATACACACTCACAAACACACACATACACACACACACACACACACACACACACACACACACACACACACACACACACACACACACACACACACACACACACACACACACACACGGGTGCATGATGATCCTGATGTATGTGGAAAGACGCAGTCCACCTGTGGGGGTAACGTTTGGACAGGTTTTTTTTATCGTTTTTTTTCCGTTGCCTAGGGTTGTTTTTAAATGGTCTGAAAAGCTGTTTTACGCGACCTTGTTTTAAATTGTTTTGTACTCCTGGGCAGATGTTTTTGGATTGCCATGTGCGATGGATGTGACATGTATCTGGTCCTGTGTGCTTGTATAATATATACATACAAAACAAACTTGCATACATACACAGTTTATATATTACTTTTCCTTATGTATAAAAAGTATATATAGATATATGTATATTAACTACGATGGTTCAGAAATCATTTATGGTGAGCTCATATCTGGCAGAGCAGTGGCAATATTTGCTGCTGCCTAAAGACAATAGACCTAGATGAGGTGGTGTTTTTGTTTTCTTTGCTGGAGTGTTGTTAGATTCCAGCTGTCTGCCCTGTGTTGTCTGTATTAAGGCCGTCGATGGATTTAGGGCATTGCTCTATTCCTTGTCTTTGTACCGACTGTCTGTAACAGTGTTTCTGTCACAGTGCAGTTTCTAGACGAACATCTTCCCCCCCGTCCTTTTTCTCTCAGTCTCTGTGAAAAATTCACGGTGTTTCTCATCACTCTTCTTTCTGGTGTCGGTCCCCTCACCTCTGACTGTCTCCTGTTCTGTGACCACTGACTGAAGTGTTAGCCTTCTCCCCCCCCCCCCCTCGCCGCACATAGAGCCCCTCGGTACAGTCTGTCCAAGCGTCTTATTTACAGACAATACTCACTACATTTAAAAAAGAAGAAAAAAAGAAAAAAAAGAAAGAAAAGCAGAATTTGTATATACAGTATAAATGCTCCTCACCAAAATTCTGATTTTTTTTATGTTTATTCTTTTTTGTTCATGTTGTGTTCAAGGTATGTATGTATGCAGACCCATGTACTGTTTATGAGCAAAAACAAAGATGATAAAAGGTAGGGAAAGAAGAAATGAAAGGAAAAAAAGATTAAAAAAATGAATCAGGGCAAAACTGATGTTTATGGATATTGTTGATGATGATGATCAACTTTATCCAGCCATATGTTCAATCTTACCTGTACAGTACAGTAGATGACAGCTGTATTATTGTAACACCAACTAGTCATGTATAGTGTAACTATAGTTTGGAGTGCCTTTGCTTTCATACATCTTCGCCTTGTTTCCCCTCTCACCCGCCTCCCCCTTCCATCACCCACTCCCCCCACCGACTTGGACTCTCCCTTTGGTGCTGTTGAATGTCCTGCAACACACACACACACACACACACACACACACACGATTTTCAGTCCCCTCCCCCCTCTTCCCATTTTTCATTGCACACTTAATGTAATATACAGACATTGTTAATTATTGTAAGGATTATTTTTTTCCTTAACTGAAGATACGAGTAGTGTTTATTTTAATAGATGTTTTATCTTGGACACACACAGCACAAACTTGTATACCACAGTCCTGGCACAGGCTCCGGGGCTTGAAGTGGGTTTGGGGGATGGCAGCGGGGGTTAAAAAAGGCCTCGTATACTGTAGTCAATACAGTATAGTTTCTGTGTAACTCACAGTGTTGGTTCTGTTACCAAAAGCCAAACTAAGATGTAGTTGTGATGAGGCAGTTATGTACGTACTCTGTCTCCTGGATCTTTTTTTGTCCTTTTTGCTTGTTCTCCTTCCTGTCTGCGCACTTCAGTAGCACCTAAGGCATCGAGTCATGTAGCCTCTCTCCTGTCTCCTGCTTGCTGTAATTTTGCATTCATGAACGTGTTGCTCCCCTCCACAAGAAAGATTGAACACCTCACCCTACCCCCTAACTCCAGTTCAATAAAAACACCACAAAGGTTACCAAAAAATAAGTGTATATACTAGTATAAAATATTATGCTGGCATATACACACGTTTAACATGTTAACTGGGTTTAAAGAAAAAGAGTACCACACAACATCCTGTATAACAGTACTACTACTTGAATGCCTCCGTTTGTGACTGAAACTTTGATTTCATTTTTTTGTTTTGTTCTGTGAAGGTATGCTAAATGTGCACCTCTGTAAATATTCCCTCTGCGTGCTCTGAGGAATAGTTCCCTGGTACTGTAATTTGCATTAAATAAAGAGTAGGATAGCCTGGAAATGATCAACATCTTTGTCTGCTCCATGTTCTTTGAGTAAGAGTGTGGTAAATGTGTATAACCTCCTGGTCAGTGTTTTGGTGGTAAATGTTCCTGAGACTTGCATCGAATCGCTAAACATTTTTATTGGAACGAAGAACTTAATTTGATAAAAGATAACAATTCTCTCCCTCTACTCTCAACACTAGTTTACGAGATGATGGCTTCAGCATGTTCACATTTGCGTTACCCTTTTTTCGAACTATGCAGCTAGCATGTCTTAAAGTGCAACAATGATTATATAAGTTGAACTCTGAAATAAAAACACTGTTGAGTTCTAATTGACAATGAAAAACAGCAGCAGCCCATTTAATGATTATAAATTAACAGTACATCTTAACATAGAATATTTTAATTGCAAGGTTGTGCCCTCTGGTTTAGGTCCTACTTCTTTGACTAGCCCAGATTTCCCGACCAACGTTTTATCTTTAGACAGAATGACCACAGTGGGGCAGTGTTTAGCTTACATGTATGATGTTTATGGCCCTAGGCCCCAGAGCATTTGTATTTACAATATGTGTAGAGCCTTCTTGTTTCACATGAATGCATCAAACACTAAACATGAATCTGAGGTAACAAATATATATATATTTATATATGACCGTTCTCTGAGAAAATACAAAGTTCATCTTCTCTCACAATTCTCTTAAAAAAACGTTATGTCAGCATTCATTCAGACACACAAAGTGAACTTAATGTAGGTAAAACAAATGACACAAATGTTAAATCTACCAGAATCCACTGCCACTGTAACCCCTGAAACTTAATTGTGTCCTTCTTATTCATAGCTTACTTGAAAGTTGATAGTGTTATATTTCAGCAGGACTTGATTATCTTCATCTGGATTTTGTGCTTTGGACTATCACATGATGTAAGTGCATTTTTTTGTATTTGGACACATTTAACAACATAAAAAAAAACAGAAGGCTTCTTCAAACCAATGAGCACATTGAGCTGGTCCCGGCTATGAACAGTAGATGTCGCTATCAGAAGTTACCACAGGGGTTTTTACTGACCATCTCCATTATGAGAGGCGAGATAATGTCCGGCTGGATGTCCTGAATCTGCAAAACCTGTTTGCTGTACTCCTCATTCATTGTTCTCATCTCAGTGAGGCAGGACATCACTTTGGGGTACAGCAGGCTGCAGGCACAGAGGAAACAAAGGAGGGGGAATCTGAGAAAGATTTAAAAGGGAGTGGTCCCAGGGTGGCGCTATGTATTACACTCACTGTTTCCCTGGTCCTGTCCTCTTGCAGTCAATCCAGGACTTTAGAGTCAACGCCAAGTTCTCATGAAGCTCGTCAATCACACGGTGCTGCTGCACACCTGGACGGTCTGATTAAATAAAATCACGCTTACTATTCAACAGCAAATATGAGAATGTTGAAAATACGTTTGACTGGGTTCAAATACACACTGTTTCTAGGTTTGAAATATTCACAGGGTTTATAAATGATTGATTAGTAAGAACGGGGAGGAACTGATGAAGATCCTGAAGATGCTACCTGGAGAAAACAGGGACATGGCCTGCATGAGGGCGTACTCTTCCTCCTGCAGGCACAGGTTGCGCAGCGTGTGGTGAAATTTAAGCAGAGGCTCCAGCAGAAGTGGCTGGAAACCCGCTATGGGACAGAGACGGTAAAAGAATATTAGATAGTGACACAAGGGAAAAACATGAAAATGAACTAAGTGTGCTCAAGTTCCTTGCCTGAGTTAGTTTCCACAGTATGAGGCACAATGTATTGAATCCATATTAAGTCAGTTGGTTTTTAATTGTTCATTATTCTTCATTTTAAGCTTTATTGTCCGGGTGTTCACAAACAAGGAAATATTTTTATGTTTTTTGTACTTACCTGGAAAAAGACTGAGACCTAGAGTTAAAAGTGTATATTTATATTAATATTTACTTGTACGTGAACACCTGGTCTACAGCTGATTCTCTTGTCTAAAGACTGTCTGCCAGCCAAGGTATTTCCAAGCTAGAAGAGACATGAATAAACAGTCATCTGAATTTAATCTCTAGAAAATTAGCAGACAACACCGGTTTGACAACATTCTGGAAAACGCTCCCCGCTAGTCACCTTAAACCTCTGTGAGCATGAGAAAAGGGCGGTGAGGGAAGTTCAACAGCACTTGTCTAACTTTAAAATAAAAGGTACTACTATTATTTGCTACTAAGTAACTTCATACTGTATAACGTGGTGCCTTACTAATGGAAACCAAAACAAGGGAAGTGAGAAACTAATGCAAACACATTGACCCCTTCATCAGGTCAGATAACTTGTTGGCAGAGCTCATGCCGGAACTGATATTTGAGTCTGCAGGTGTTGCCTTTTTTTATATAATTGACTGCATCTGTCAATCAGTAACACTTGACATAAGGCTGCTTCTGTTCTGTTAACCTTTAAACAATGTTACTTCACAGCTAGATTGCTCACATACAGTACATACCTCTGTGATGCACTCTATAATCAGATCATATTTGAAAACATGTTGTAATCCCTGCTACTTAAACTGCGAACATTAACGCTAATCAGAATCAGAATCCCTGTATTCGTCCCACAGAGGGGAAATGTACATTTGTTACAGCAGAAAAGAGCCAAATGTAATGCTTAATGTAATGCTTAATGCTAACCCTGTTGTTCCTTTGAACTATTCAACTCTTTTTGGTAGTTTTGTGTATCTCTTGTTGGCATCTCTTCTTGGTTATTTTGTGTCTCTTTGGTATTTGATTTGTTTGTTATTTTTGATTATCTGCTGTACCGGAAATGCTAATAGTGACTTCAAACTATAGGGCTCTGAACCAAGAACCAAGGGCCCAGTGGTGAGCCACCAGAAAAGCTCTGATAAACCCACAGTACAACACTACACAGCAGAAACATACAGCAACTACCTGGTAAATACAACCAAACATTTACCAGCTAAAGAGTTACTTCCAGAGCATTAATACTGAACTTTGATGTGTTTATAGGCAACTGCACCAGTGCGTTTGACATGCACTGTATAAGGGGATGATACAGTATGTTGTGTTGTGTTTTAAGCTTGTTGTGTTGCCTCCACTTAAAAATATATATTTTGGGTGCTCATCTGTACATGTGGGAGTGACTGTGGCCGTGAGGGTGTGCGGTCGACTTTCAACTAGAAGGTTGTGGAGAAGGTCGATCCCATGCCCATGTCAATATACTCTTGGGCAAGATACTTAACCCTGTGTTGCTCCCGATAGCATGGCCAATGGAGTATGAATGTGTATATACTTTTGTTCCTAGAGCAAGTGACACTGCATGATTGAATGAGGTGTGAATGGGTGAATGACTAGTAGTGTGTAATCCGCTTTAAGGTGTTGAAAATACCTTATAAAGCGCTATATACAGTAAGTACAGGCCCTTACCATGTTCAAGCTGTAGAGTTGAAACAGCTAAGTTTACTCCTATTTATATATATATATATATATACACTATTTCAAATAACCAATATAAAGTGTTCTCACCTCGTACAGCGTCATTTATGCAGTAAGTTATATGGCCACATTCCCAGATTCCTGTTTTTGTGTTAAACACCATGTTGAAGCGTATCTGCATTATTTCAAATGTGGCTCCCTTTAACAGAGAAATTTGATCATCCATGTTCAGAGATCTGTAAGAGACACACAATTAAAAGTGAATAATTTTTTCCAAATATAAAAGAAAATGCATTGAGGTAAAAGCTTACTGGAAGTCCCGAAGACTTTTAGAGAAAGTAATGATGTCCTGAATCATGTAAGTGGTCAGGTCAGCCACGTGTGGAAGAGCAGTGAAAACACTGCCTTTTTTCCCGGCCTCTTCATGCTCTTGGTTTTCTGCTGTTTCAAAGGAACCAGAGACACTGGTGGAGGAGAGGGGGCACAGCTCGCTTTCAGACTGGTCCTCACCAACAGGAAGGGCGTTTCTGTCCATAGGCTGAAGAGAAGAAAAAAAGTGTCAGTGAGAAATGATAAAACAGAGACAACACCTCGAACATGTTGACAGCCATTCACGCACCCTAAAGCCACTGAAGCGATAAAATGCTGAGTCGAATGATCGTCGGTGGCTGCAGAGAAGCTCCTTAATGGTTTCCTCTTGTTGGGAGGAAAGCTCCACTGGTGCATCCAGCCTCTTCCTCGTCTGGATGCGGGTCCTCCTCTCCTTTACTTCCTTCTCAGACATGACCACTAAAAGAACACAAAAATATGTATAGAAATCTGATTAAAACACTTCTGACAGTTAAAAGAATTATGTTTGATATGTGATACGTTTAAATAACTCCTGTAGGACTGTATTTTGTTGAAATAAAAAAGTTTAAAAGCAAATAAAGACACAATATAAATACTAGTACCATATTAATATGCCCATTCAATGATAATCCCTCCAGCATTTACATTTAAGCTCCTCTAATCACATGCTACCAATACAAAAACACAAAATCATTCTTTGTGTCTGGATGTTACTTACTCTCTTGGCGCATGCCTATGGCCTGGCATTTACGGAAGCGGCAGGCTTGACACGACCGTCGGTTGTTTTTGGTTATGCTGCATTTGTTCTGGAACCTACAGCGGAGCTGCGTTGACCTCTTTATGGCACGTCTGAATTGATTTTAAAATCCACTCAGTAATAACCTCAAAATCACATGCATTAAAACACACATAATGTATTAACGTATGACATTGTATGTGACGACAAAGTACCAACCAGGAACTTTGAAACCTTTGATTGTTATTAGTTCTCAACTACTGTGGGTGTGTAACTGTTACCTGGGTGAAAAGCTCCTGCTTGAATAAGTTGTTAGGAATTTAATTCAGTTGCATAAATAAGGGAAGTGCTACAGCTGCATGTGTGAGTGACATGATTGAAACAACGTCACCTGAAGAAGCCCTTGCAGCCTTCACATGTCAAAGCATTAAAGTGGTAACCCTTGGCCAGATCTCCACACACCCCGCAGGCTCTGGGCTCCTCATCTTCTGTTGCCTCCCCTTCCTGGCTCTCTTCCTCTTCATTGTACCTTGTGAGCGCTTCTCGGATGCTCTGTACTCCAATGGCCTCATTCATTCTCACCTATGAAGGATACATACATCATTCTGGCATCTTTAACTCATATTGATTAATTTCAATAGCAACCATTTTAAACAAAAGCAGACACAGTACTGTGAGATCTAGCTCATCTGTCCACATAAAATAATGGTCTTAGTTTTTATATATATCCAAGGATAAGGCCAGAGGAGGGAGAAGTACTCAGAACTTTATTTGTGTAAAAGTGGAAGTACCAGAGTAATACTTTACTAAAAGTAAAAGTCCTGCATTAAAAATGTTACTCAAGTAAAAGTACAAAAGTGTTAGCAGCAACATTTACTTAAAGCAAAAGTACTCATTATGCAGATTGATCCATTTCAGAATAATATATGATGTGTTTTTATTTTGATTATTGATGCATTAATGTGTTACAAAGCTGGTAGAGGTGCAGCTAGTTTTAAACTTCGTATATTGCAGGGTAGATTGTGAATGTAATCCAGGTGTAACTAAATCATTCTTTAAGTGTTGTTTATATTTCACCTTATTAATACAAATCTGTAAAGGTGTTACATAAATGTGTAAAATTACACGATTTACCTCTGAATTGTAGTAGAGTAGAAGTACAAAGTAGCTTAAAATGGAAATACTCAAGTAAAGTACACGTATTTAAGTCTAATCAAAGCCATGTATTCCTATATATTGTTTGAGCACAATCAATAGTATAATAGAGCACCATGGTCAATGGGTTTAATAAGGTTTTGATTAATAACCTTTAATACATGTAATATTGTTTCAAATCTTCAAGCCAATGAATGCAACTGAAGGGAAACAGACCTGAAGAAAGTGTTAATCTCAAAGACATTGTTTTCCAGGATGTATGTATCCTCTTTACTGCACATCATTTATGACAATATATTAAAACCAGTGGCCAAATGTGTATTTTTGTACTGTATGCCTATGTCTAAATCCAGTGTGTTGTGTCTATAAACTGCACAACCTGAACCATTACTTTCGCTTGTGACAACGATTTCCCGGAGGAAACATGTATCGACTACAAATGAAAAGCATATAAAAACGTGTTTTGTTAGGGCGAAACAACTCTTATCGCCATTTCTTTGACTTAATGTTTAACAACAACTGGAGTGATACTTAACATTCCCATGTGTAATGAGTCATGAAAGAAACTCTTCGTCAGCCTTTAGAGACTTTAAAAAGACCTAGGCTACTTTCCCTGCCTCAACTGCCCGGTTAAAGGTCGAGTTTTAATCAAATAGTAATCCAGACTGTTCCACTCACTCGCTCGGTGATTCCAGAAGCCAAACAGCTGTTTGTGGTCTCCGGGGGTTCAGCCTTGCAGCGTTTAATCCAAGAGCATTATCCTACTGGGAATTGAACAGGTGAGCAAGGATCACACAGCTCTTCCTGCTGGCCGAGTTGCCTGGCGCTTGGTGTCGGGCTCGTCTCTACAAGTCTACTGGCTGCAGCACACAGGACGGGCCCGGCGCCAATGTGGGGAAAGGTGAGCTGGGGGGTCATTCACACACCCCTCGAAGTTCCCACATTCATTTTCAAGCAAATACAGTGACTACAGTCGATGTAATTACTGCGTTTAGAGCATTCTGTAACGTTTTCACTGACCTGTTGTGAGCAGAAGGTTTACACCGTTTTTGCTATTTTGTCCTGCAGTAATGAGGCAGAACGGTTTATAGTTTGCAAAAACCATAAAAACCTATTAAAAACACTCGCGTGCGTCTATTCGTGTAATTACGGTACGGGTGCTGGGCGTGGTCAGAAAGGACGAGGTACATGTACTCAATTACTGTACTTAAAGGTGGGGTAGGTAATTTTGGAGAAACCAGCTCGAGTGTGCTAGAATTTGAAAATACACACCCGGAAAAAATCTGCCACTTCCTTACTGAGCCCCTCCTCCAACACACACGAACGCGCACATGACCAATGAGGGCACGAGATACATTTGTGCACAGATGGAAGGCTGACAGGCAGGTAGGCCCATAGATATATGGGTAGGCCATCCAGTTATTTTAGCCGGGCCGGTTAAAATTATTGTGCTTTTTACAGCGCTACGGCTTCCACAGATTAATTATTTGTATGTATTGTCAAAACATTTAACATATTCATTGCTATCGGGATGTTAAGAGCATTCCATGGAATATAAAAAAAAGTGTTTCTGAAATAAATTACAAAGGCTACCCCACCTTTAAGTACAATTTTGAGATACTTTTACTTTGCTTGAGTATTTCCATGTTATGCTACATTGTACTTCTACTCTACTTCCATTCAAAGGTAAATCGTGTACCTTTACTCCCCTTTATTTACTTAACAGTTTTTGATTAATAATGTGAAATATAATCAACACTTAAAGGTGGGGTATGTCATTTATTTCAGAAACACTTTTTGTTATATTCCATGGAATGCTCTTAACATCCCGATAGCAATGAATATATTAAATGTTTTGACAATAAATACATAAAAAAAT